ACGAGTTCAGGAAAATCTTTTCATGGTCAATATTACCCTTCACTATTTTAAATATTTAATTTAGATTTTAATTTATCCTAATTCTAATTATATCTAATCAACTTAGAAAAATAAGGATAAGATTAATAATATACATGAAACACTATTTTTAATATTTCATTAAAATCTTAATCAATCCTAATACTAATTATATCCAATACTAATTCAATATAAACTACCTACAGCTCAACAGTTAAAAAAAATAAGATTAATAAATCATATATAGTTAACATATTATAATGCATGAAATATTTCAAAAAATCACAAAAAGTTTCAAAAATTGTACAAATTATCCTAAAAAGTTTAAAATTGGGAAAAATGTTTTAAGGCCCCCCAAAAAATATCTGGTTGTGTAAAGCCCCCCTGTATTTTTTCTTTGGTCCCCCAGCACCCGATCGACGGGCACTAGAGTATGTGCTCAGCCATTATACTGACGAAACTAATGAGTTCTCTTTTGTTCTATATTTTCAGTGAAATTTGATGAAGAGTGGGTGCATACTCACACAGGCTTTCCCATTGATGAGGAGATGATCTACGGGAATAGAGACCCTCACAACAGACTTTGGAGGCAATACTTTGAAGATAAGAAAGAAATGCTAAAGGCCAAGCAAAAGGCAAAGGCAAAGGCCAAGGCTACACTAGAAGCTGGTAGCATGAGGAGATATGTCGAGGAGTTACTGGAAACACTTGTTGAGTCCTCTTATAATAAGGACATTGAGGATTTTGTGCTGCTTCAGATATTGTACCAATGTGCAACGATTTGGTGCCCCAACAGCTCTCAAGGCATCCCAAGACAATTGTTTCAATATGTAGATAGTATCGAGAGAGTGAAGACCATTGCGTGGGGTAAATTTAGTTTTGATGAGACGAAGAGAGGCATTCAAATTGTTGTTCAAGGGATGAGGAAGCCAGGGGTTACATACGTACCTGGATGCATGCCGCTCATCCCTGTATGTTGCATGATCATCTGGCTTGACATTTGATCTAGTTAATAGGAGTCATGGTACCAGGCATTAGAAAACATGTACAACATTGGACTTTAATAGGCTAACATGTTAAAATCAACATGTTAACATGAAGTTTGACATATAAAAGTAAAAGTTAACATTAATAGGTGAAAGTTAACATGTTAACATAAACTTTAACATATAAAAATTAAAGTTAACATTAATAAGTGAAAGGTAACATGTACCCAGTAATGTTAACATGGGTTAGTGAAGTGAAGGCTAGCTATTTAGTATGTTGTAGTTCAAGAAAGAGTTATGCAAGTTAACTATTTTGACAATTGATCCTTCGATTCTGACAGCTTTGGTACTTTGAGATGACTGGCATTAAAAAACCAGCCCTAAACTTAAGGTGGAAGCCTCCGATGACCAACTGGGTAAGGGTCGGAGGGACGGCTGGATCTCTGAGGATGGAGACAATCGTCTGTAAGGCCAAGAAAGAAAGCATAAAACTTGAGGAGAAACCAATTTCACTTAGCATTGGATGGGGTGAAAAATATCCTCAAAGGGAGCCCAGCAGGAAGAAGATTGAATTCACTCGCTTTGGGAAAAATAGAAGCCCAACGTCCGGGAAGCAAGAGAAGAAAAGGAGTAATGGGCAGACCAAAGAGCAAACTAGGCCGAGAAAGATAAAAAAGGAAGAAAAGCAGAAGGCTGGGAAGCAAGAGAAGGTGATGGGCAAACCAAAGAGCTCATCTGTGGGTTACGTAAGCAGCAATGACTCTTTACACATCACAACATATTTACATTGAGTTAAATATTTTATCGTTATCATTAATTCATTTTCAATTTGCATTGTTTCATGTTAACTTTCTTTTATGGGTTTTCATAACTATTCTGCTTAATCTTGTGGATTTACAAGGGTAAAGGGTATATGGTGTACTTTACAGATTTTGTCCCAGCATATCGCTGATGCTTTTTCAAGAGAAGATGAAATAGATAAGTTGACGCCTGTAGAGCAAATTCATTTTTGGAGGAATACGGCCAATATAAATTGGAAATTGCTCCACGCTGTCAAGCGTAGCAAGCGCCTTCAATGGGATGCTTGCTCCCAGGAGATACATAGGTTGAACAATAAATTGGAGCGCTATGAAGGGGTCGAAGACTTGATTGACCCCGAAGACCTGAAGAAAAATGTGAGGGAACTTATGTCACAAAGTGATAGGCATAAAGGGTATGCACTGAGGAAAGAGTGTTGATTCTAATGATAGGGGTGATATGGGTGATGATGGAATTTGTTTTGATTATGACGATGTAACGAACATTGGCAAGGAAGCTTCTCATATTGCCGAGGCTGTTGCGCAAACAGAGAAGGAGGCAGAGAAAGGTGAATAGCAAGAGATGGAGAAGAAAGAGGAAGAGAGAGAAGATGAGAAGAAAGAGGAAGAGAGGGAAGATGAGAAGAAAGAGGAAGAGCAAGAGATGGAGATGAAAGAGGAAGAGAAGGAGGCAGCGAAGGAGGAATGGCAAGAGATGGAGGTTGAGAATGTGGGGAAAGCTGTGGCTAATGAGGAGGATAAGGATAAGGTGCAAGTTTATCGGAAGAAGAAACTTGTGTCAAGGGGTATTAGGGGACCAAGTACCAGAAAGAGGACTCGCTCACATCTAGTCCGAACCCCTTTCACTGAAGGAAAGAAGAAGGACGGTCGTCCAGATATAATTAACATTTAACATATCACCACACAAGGAGGAAGAGAGGGATAAAATCAGGTTTTATTGTAAGCCTGAGGAATGCACTTGGGATTTTCTTGGGAAGAGGAAAATCAAGAAGAAGGAGGAGGCTCTATTGAAGTTGCTAAACGAGGGTATTCCCAACGTTGATGATTTTAGCATACGTATGATTGATAGTGAAGGAACCTTCGTTCACAACTTTAGAGTGCCTCATCATATAGCAGCAAAGCTCACACCAGACGAGAACAGATGGCTCTCTCAGTTCTGCAATGAAACAGCCCATCAGTAAGTTTAGACATTCTGATTAATCGTGGCTACAATATGTTAACTTTCATGGTTACATGTTAATGATTATAGGTTTATGTTAACTTTCATAGTTACATGTTAATGATTATAGGTTTATGTTAACTTATACCGACGAGAACAGATGGCTCTCTCAGTTCTGCAATGAAACAGCCCATCAGTAAGTTTAGACATTCTGATTAATCGTGGCTACAATATGTTAACTTTCATGGTTACATGTTAATGATTATAGGTTTATGTTAACTTTCATAGTTACATGTTAATGATTATAGGTTTATGTTAACTTATACCTATTTGTGCCAACGTTTGCGAAATCATGTTTATATTTGCAAATCCAGTTAACATATAGCCTGGTTTATGTTAAAATTTGGATATTATTGTTATGTTTCAGGTCACGTATTATTGTTAAGATGTTGAACAGCAGCATTGATTCAACGGAGCTTCTTTATCTTCTACGTGGCAGGCGTATCGATGACCATGCAAGTTCAATATGCTACTCTCAATATATTAATCTTTTACGCAATACTTGGATTTACTGCATGTTGAGATGTTATGCAATCTAATTTGCATCTTTTGTTAACAGGTCATGGAAGCTCTTGTAGATAGGCTCAGCACATGGCTAGAGAGGCCAGAAATTGGTTCTACAGGTCATGGAAGCTCTTGTAGATAGGCTCAGCACATGGCTAGAGAGGCCAGAAATTGGTTCTGTTGGAATGAAATATGGAGTCGTGTCAGCATTTTTCTGCGTAAGCATTAGCTTCAAACTCCCAATGTTTTTTAACTCCTGTTTACAAATGGCTTATCATTATTTGCTTGGCAATACAGCATAACATTTATGCAGTGAACCCAGATTACGCACATTTATACACCTCGTTCATACAAAAGCATGTCGCCGTAAATAAATCAGTACTCCTTATCCCGCTTGTGCGGCACGACCACTGGCATGTTGTTGAAGTAAGGTTGGACGAGGATGTTATCAAGCATTACAGCTCTACAGGCCACAGTGCATACCTGGAGCCAGTAAATAAAGTAATTGATTTCATGGATCACATGAAGGCTGGTTTTGATCCCAATAATGTTTGGAAGAAATTCCGATATGAAGCCGTCCCTTGCGAGCAACAACGTGGAAGGTTAGTGTTTCACACACTTAAACATTTTCATTTTATTCAGCATCAAATATCTAACTATCTTTCCAATGTATATGATGTAGGTTTGATTGTGGGATTTTCGTTCCTTTATATATAACGGCTATAATACAAGGAACTGATACCAGTCAGGTAACTAATCCCGCTGATGAGTCCGACGTCATCCATGCCAAGCTTGCAGCTGAACTCCTAATTGAAGGATGGGAACAAAAAAAAATTACGTGGATGGGCTAGAAAAGGATGGGTGAATGATGTCAGGAAAAGTTATGTATTGTGAAGATTGTTGTGGGAGAAAACTAACAGGCATATTAATTTAGAAGTATAACTAGAGAAAGGTTGTGTAACTGGTTGCTAGTTAAGATGTTATGTGGTATCAAAACTTTTTATTTAACTGGTGGGTAGGTTGGACGAGGAGATGTAAGAAACTGGTTGTTTAACTGGTTGACAGCATAATATTTGTTGCTAAAATGTTTGAAATGCAATACATAACAGGGCTATAAGGGATGATAGTATATGTCACTGATGTTCCGACACAAAACTTGCATTGGCTGCCATATAAGTATGAAAGATAACATATAGCGCTGAAAGTTAACCACTTTCAATAAAAGTTAACCCGTAGCTCTGAAACTTAACCACTATCAGTAATAGTTAACATGTAGCTCTAAAACTTGACCAAATTCAGTTAGAGTTAACATATAGCTCTAAAACTTAACCACTATACATAATAGTTAACATGTAGCTCTAAAACTTAACCACTATCAGTTAGAGTTAACATATAGCTCTGAAACTTAATCATTTATAGTAAACGTTAACGTATACACGTGATACTTGACCAAATTCAGTTAAAGATGACAAAGATGATGGATATTAGAACAATACAAAAACAACACAGGAAGAATGAATAAAGTTTCCATTTTTCAACTTCGCGGTTTGCTTGCTTCAGTGCTTTCTTCAACTGCTTTGCCTTGACCGCCATATCATCTTCAACGGGGACTTCTGGGCAATCTAGAATATTCCTACTTACCATTGCATCTTCACTGTGAGCCCAAGCGAAAAACTTGCATTGCCTCTTTGGGAAATTTGCACATCCCCAGAAGTATCTACCCTTGTTCCTCCTATTTTTGCACTGCCTCATGGGTGTTGGAATGTTACAAAAACAACATACATCTTCCCATGACTGAACACCCTCTGACATTTTCATCTCGCAATCTCAAGAGGGAATAAAAGGAAAGTTAGAACTTCTATTAAGCTTATAACTTTCTTATGTGCACATTTTATATTGCATAAGGAACAACTTACAAGCCGTTGGAATATGGCTGTTTGAAATGACTGGTTGCTAGCCGTTAGAACAGTGACTAATATGTTGGAGAAGTCACCCATTTAAACTCAAAACCTTGACATGATAGGTGAAGATCTGAAAACGTCTCTCAGTATAACATGTTTCTATTAACAGCATGAACAAAATGAATCTAACATGCATTATCACAGATTACAAAAGTACAACGCTATATACTTAACAACTTTAAAACCATCTATATGTCTCATACAAAAGTATTGTTGTTAGAAGCTGAAACACACTAGTCAAGGATGGGCTCATTGCAGGTTGCTCTATTGCGACCTTCAACTTTGCACTGAGAACATTTGACGGGCTGTTTGTATATGGTTCTTTTGTTTATGCGTCTTGCTCTATTTCTTCCCCTCCTCTTAGTGGTAATTGGTGGCAAAATCTGGATTTCATCCTTGGGCACACTCCGCTTCTCATAGTCTGGTATGGGATATAATATTTCGTCGTAGCTCTTCTTAAACGCTTCTACGGACATGAACCAATCACAATATTGATATACATCTCTTTTCATATAAATAATGACTGCACAAGCATGGAGACAAGGAATACGGGTTACGTCCCAAGCTCGGCAAGTGCATGTCCTATTCTCCAAATCAACGTGAGTGGTTTTATGTGATTGCACTTCAAAAATATCCTCTCTAGATTGCTTAATCTCTAAAGTGCGCCCTTTTTCCATATTTTCTCTAACAATCTGCTCAGCTTTAGGACAAAGATAGCTTGTCCACTTACACGCCATTATCCGTCTGTTGTTCATGCGAGTCATAAGTTATTTTCGGATATGCTCCACCATTTGTAGAATACATAACAAACGGGCTTCACGTATCCAGCTGTTAAAGGATTCTGCAACATTAGAGGTTACATGGCCATATCTGCAAAGGACAACATATAGGAAGTATGATGGGCATATAATATGTTATCTTCTTAACAAGTGATCGTAAAACTTAACCTATACTGCTAAAGGCTAACATAAAAACATCATAGTTAACATATATTGGTGAAAGTTAACATATATCAGCGAAGGTCAACCTATAAAAAGGATACTTCACATATATGCATAACAGTTAACATCAACCGCAAAACATCATAATGATTGAATGCATACCTAATGCCAGGGAAGAAGGCATTTGCCCAATGCTCTGGCGAGTAATTAATTGTAATCTCATATGCGACTGGAGCCATCTCATAAATTTCCTTCATGTAGTCGTTCCATTCCGCTATAGTGTATTTATAGCAAGTAGTTTGGAGCAAATTCTCCAAAACCCGTGTGTCCTTTGCCTTCATTCCCAAATCCTTGAGCTTTGATCTAAAATTTTCAACTAGATGCAGAACGCAGCGTGAGTGAATTGCTTCAGGGAAATATTCTCTCACGGCTTCTCGAATCCCCTTGTCGGCATCAGAAATAATTACCAATTGGTGGGGGGATTATACGGGTCCAACCTTTCATACAGTATGGACCACAGGCCTTGTAGGAACCATCTCCAATTATCAACATTTTCTTGATCATATATACAATACGCAAGTGGAAATATCCCTTGGTCTCTGTCGTAGGCTATGGCGCTCAGAAGCATGCCTTTATATCTGTCTTTCAAAAAGGTCTCATCCAAAAATAAAAGGGGTCTACACCCTTTTAAGAAACCCTAGATGCAAGCAGCATAACATATAAACAGTCTTCTGAACCTTCCTTCATTCTGGTCAATACAAATGTAGCTTCCTGGATTCGTTTGCTTCACCATTTGCTCATACCTGTACAACAATGCCGCTTCTGGACATGTAAATAAATATAATACATTGGAACATAAGGGTAACATATTAACATTAAAGCGGCTACGATAAACATTTGCACACAAGTTATAAATTAACTGTAATATTTACCATCTTAATTGATCATAAGCCTCATAGCTATCACCATACATATCCTGCTGCGCTCTTTCTTTGCCCCACCATATCTTACTGTATTCAAGTCTTAATCCAAATCGAGTGAGGAAGTCCTTTTGCACATCAATTGGGCGGATTTCAGGTCGTGCCTTTAATACCGGTCGTAATTGGGCTGCTATGAACTTGCGAGATGCCCGTGATTGCCCTGACAAGTTAGAATGTTGTCCGCAACTGTGTTCATTCACAAACCTTTTGATTTCCATTCTTTTATCATTTTTAACAGGAGCTGCAAAGAGCATCCAAGGGCATCCATACATCTCCTTATATCGACAACAAACGCGGATACGTTTGGGTTCATTCTTTAGAAATTCATATTCACAAATTTTTTGGCCATGCAATAGTATTGCAAAGCTAGTCTCAATTCAGTTTCGGTTTCAAATTGTTACCCCTTTTCAGTTAATGTTGTGTGCTACCATTGAGGAATGCTCGAAGTGTTATTGAGAATACCATCAGCCCTCATTATAATCTTACAAGACGGAAAATCAGTTTGGATTCTCTCTGAATTGGATGCATTTCCTGGAGGAGGACAACTATAATCTGCATTCAAAGAGGCATCCCTGTTGCACAATTTAATCAAACAGTGAGATATCCTGCACACTATGTTAAATAATCTTCTTATAACTTAAGTTAACAGCACTATGATGAAAGTTAACAATATGCATGGTTAACACAGCACACCAAAAGTTAACTAATTGGGTGTAAAATTAACCATTTTGAGTAAAACTTAACATAGAGCAGTAGAATTTAACAGACAATGGACATGGTTAACACAGACAGACGAAAGTTAACATGTTCAAGAAAAGTATAACAAGGTGTAACGGCTGGGGGTGTATCAACTGGTGTAGTTGGTCCCACAGCCGGCTCAACAGGATCAGCCTCGACAAAAGCTCATGTCAAATACAAAATAGAATTTTCAGATGCATTGCATTATAGTTGCATTAGTCAAAAATTGGCTAGTCCTATAATTAACTTGAGAAGAGCTACGTACCTTCAGAAAAACCATCCTCGGGATTCTCAGGGAGCTACTTACAAATCAGTAATAACTTTCTGTTTTTTCCTCAGGAGTAGGACACTACTTGGCATCAACATCTTACATTTTAATCAGAACAATTCTAGTTATTTATTTGCGTTCCAACGTGCACTTCAAATCATGCAGAATATAGCATTATTGCCTGACAGCACCATGCTCATCAACTCTTTGGAACCCGTTGGGGGTTGTTCAAATTTATGGCGACAGTTATACGGTTACATTCAGGGGATTTAAAGCCCAGAGGGGTGATTGAAAGTTGACCAAAAGATAACAGTGTTTACATCACACTAAGCACAATGTTATAAAGAGTTTATTAATTACTTACATTTCGCTAATAACTTTCTGATTCTTCCCTGGCGTGGAACACTCTACGTTAACAGCAGCCTGCATATGAATCTCCGTGCGGTGAGTCGGGCTCACCAGAAGACGTAAAATCATGAAAAATAGGATCAGGACTCATCTCTCTCTCCCCAGGCTCTCCTATATAGAGATGGAAAAGCATGAGTCAAAGTTCTGAATGATCAAGAGGTTGGTCTATAGGGTAGATGTTACCTCCATCACTGGCAGGATCGTCACTGGCTAAATCCCTATCAGATGCTCGCGAAACTGCACGCGGCTTGCGGGCTAATCTCTTCCGCCTAGCAGCAGGGACAATAATCGAAGGTCTCGCCTGGGGAGAAGGACGGAACTTTGAGGGGATTTCAGGTGCATAAACATGGTTGACAGTTGAAGAACAAACCCTAATTTCATTAATGAGAGAGTGAGAGCTAGAACTGACCGATTTATAATAAAGGCTGATGAAGCAGCACAGTAATGGAGGGAGCGCGTACTTTTTTCCCCCGCTTTCCTCCGTCGCTTCGCCTTAAATGCGATGGGAGCGGTCGCCGCCAAAGGAGGAACCCATTCAGCCAGTTTTCTCCTGTGAGAGAGATGAGGGTAATTTAGGTATGTTGGTCAAAATACACCCAATACATGTATATGAATGGGCTTTTAGGGCTGGGCCACAATTTTCACTATTTTATGGTGCTAAATGCTAAGGGAATTAATTGCTGGGTCTGGGCCACAACCGGATCTTTTTTTTGGGGCCTTGAAACATTTTTCCCTTTAAAATTACATAAAATATCATGACTTATCAAAACTTAAAATAACAAATATAGAATCTTGAAATTAACAAAAGCCCCCAAATAATTTTAAATTTGTAATTAACACCCTCAACATTCAAACTTTGTAGAAATAACTTCAAAAGTTTAAATTATAAAAAACACCCTAAATTTTTAAAATTTCAAAACATACAAATAATATAGATAAATTTAAAGGATTACCATTAGGCACTTAAAATTTTAAAACTTGTAAAAAAACCCTCAATGTTATAAAAATGTAAAAATTCACTCAAAAGTCAAAAATCACAAGAAAACCCCTAATTTTTTAAAACTTATAACCAGTGCACATTAAATCCAAAAATTATTAATAGAACGCTAAAAATATTAATTTTATAAAACATAACCTAAAGTTTTAGTAATTATAAAACACACCCTCAAATTTTTAGAGTTGCAAGAAATATCCTAACATTTAAAAACTTGTCACTAACACACGAAATGTGACGCCCCAAGGTTTACACAAGGCTGCAGTCCTAGGTGAAATCCGGATTGTCAAACCTATCAAGCACCAAACACCATGCTATGATATGTTTCACCATCATAATTGTTATCTCTCTAGTGAAAACAATAAATAGATGAAGGTACAGACAGGAAAAACTAGAAATAGAATAACACTGAATATACACAGAAGAAGCATAAGAAATATTAATAATGAGCCTAACTGAAATAAAATAGATATATCTCTGAGTCTGAATTAAATCTTAGATACAATAAGTCAAATAAACAAAGTCTCA